TCATCTGGATTCTTTTAAATGTCATTAATATTTCTATGATATTTTTTGCTCATCCTTGTAGCAGCGCAGTCATCTGTGTTTAATTAGTTTACACTTTGTTTCTAAATATATCTAAATATAATTCTGAATAGGTCACAGATAATAACAGATGAACTTTGACTTGTAATATATATATATTTTTGGATAATTAAAAATTAACATGTTCACAGCATTGTTTGAAGTTATTGTAATGTGAGAAAATTGTTATTAATTAGATGCATCATGGGAATGTTAGGATCCCAATGGTTAGCTCTGAAGAGTTGATTTATTTAGCTGATGAATCTGGTATAACATGTGGAAGGTGGTGATATTAGGTGTTTAAAATACTGATATTCAAAGGGAGCTGTTAGTAACTGATGTGCAGTGTTAATTGTTTTTAGTGGGTTTTTTTGTAACGAAAAATGATTAAAAACTGAGGCGTTAAAGTAATTATGGTATGTCAGACATGAAGTTCCCAGCTTGCTCTGATAAAAAAAAAAATTAAAATAAACCCCAACATATATTGGCCCTACAAACTCTACAAGTCTTGACTGTTTCATTACAAACATTAGATATTTATAAAAGTACATTGTTTCAGTTTTGACTTTTAAAACCTTAAGGGAATTGTAGAAAATGAATAAATGAAATGTCAAGTTTGTTTGAAAGATTCAATATTGATTAAAGAGAGTATTTCAGATCGATTCCTAAAATAAAGTATTTTGTTAAGCTTCATTTGTGCTTGAGATAATGTAAAAAAGGAACTTTTAGAAATGTGGTCAGAGACATGAATTCATGCTCCTTATTATAATTTAATTAGTTTTAAGTACTCTAGTACACTAAGATCTGATCCTGATTGTTATAACAGTATAAGTGCACTCCCTTTGGGAATTGTATCTCACAATCTCTGTATCCCCCCACATATTTGTACACACCGTAATGCACTAGTATTGTATCTACTCTTTAATTATATATGTAGTTATAGTAGAATAGCTCTTATAAGATGAAGTATATAATACTGTTGCCAGCGACAGATTTTCAGTGACAACACGGTCAGTGTTGTTTGCTCCTAGATCTATATTAATCAGCATTTGTTCATTGTACAGTGTACACAGTGTTTCATCATGAATTTCCTCAGTGTGAGTCTCCTAAAACATCTTGCTGTTGATAGAGTCACATAGGGAAGACTGGGCATGCCTAACTATGTTGCCTCTTTCAATAAAGTCTTTATTATTATTATTTGTAAAGTTTTAACCTAATTCTTGTATATATCCATAGAGAAATGATTACCAAATCTTGTCTTTATACAGGAATGAACATGCTCTATTCACGCACCCTGTTAAAATTAATGCATATTGTATTAAACATGTTTTTTATGCCACCGCAGCATCTGCGATGCGGTGGCATATAGCGATTCACCTGTGTGTGTGTGTGTTTGTGTGTGTGTTTGTGTGTGTGTTATATAGATTATATAGTGAACTTAAAAAATCTTCTTGTGAAAAACCACTAGTCCAATTTCAACCAAACTTGGCAGGATTGTTCCTTGGGTGAATGGCTTCCAAAGTTGTTCAAAGAATTTCATTCCATGCAGAAATCTGGTTGCCATGGCAACTAAAAGGAATTATAAGAATAAATTTAAAAAATCTTCTTGTAAAGACCCAAAAGGCCTAGAGCTTAGATATTTTGCATAAGGCATTGTCTGGTAGACCTCTAACAAGATTGTTCAAATTATAGCCCTGGGGTCAAAATTGGCCCCGCCCCGGGGGTCATTGATTTTCACTATGTACATATAGTAAAATCTTAAAATACCTTCTTGTAAAAACCCAAAAGGATTAGAGCTTAGATATTTTACATAAGGCATCGTCTGGTAGACCCTTACCAAGATTGTTCAAATTATAGCCCTTGGGTCAAAATCGGCCCCGCCCCGGGGTCATTGATTTTCACTATATGTACATATAGTAAAAACTTAAAACACCTCCTTGTAAAGACCCAAAAGGCCTAGAGCTTAGATATTTTGCAAAGGCATTGTCTGATAGACCTCTACCCAGATTGTTCAAATTATAGCCCTGGGGTCAAAATCGGCCCCACCCCAGGGGTCATTGGTTTTCTTTATATGTATATAGTAAAAACTTATAGTAAAAACTTCAAAAAAAATTCTTCTAGCAATTGACAAATGCTAGAGGTTAGATATTTTGCATGAAACATTGTGTAGTAAACCTCTAGCAAGATTGTTCAAATTATAGCCCTGGGGTCAAAATTGCCCCCGCCCTGGGGGTCATTGATTTCAATATATACATATAGTAAAAAATAAAAAGATCTTATTGTCTGAAGGTACAAGGCTTAGAGCTTTAATATTTGTTAAATAATATCATCTAAAGGTACTCTACAATAGTTATTCAAATTTTGCCTCTTGTGTCAAAATTAGCCCCGTCCCCCGGGGGCCATAGGTTTTCCTTATATGTATATAGTAAAAACTTAAAAAATCATCTTCTCTAAATTTACAAAGGCTAGAGTTAAGATATTTTGCATGAAACATTGTGTAGTGAACCTCTTGCAAATTGTTCAAATTATAGCCCTGGGGTCAAAATTGATTCCGCCCCGGGGGTCATTGATTTTCATTATGTACATATAGTGAAAAAATAAAAAATATTTTTGTCTGAAGGTACAAGGCATAGAGCTTTGATGTTTGATATATAATATCATTTATAGGTCCTCTACCAAAGTTGTTCAAATTTTTCCCCTGGTGTCAAAATTGGCCCTGCCCCAGGGCAGTGTTTCTCATTGTGTACACATAGTAAAAACAGAAAATAAAACATATGTTTTCTGAATGGGAGAAAGCTATAGCTTAGATATTTGACTTGAAATGTTGTTTGGTGGACCTGTATCAAAATTGTTTTGAATTAAACCCTTGGGTCAAAATTATGCCTTGCCCAAGGGGACAGTGACCTACTTCCTTGTCCTTTGATGTACAGCAACGACATTTTGACCATGTGCACAGTTTTAGTTGTAAAATTGAACTTTGATATCAGGTGACCTAGATTTTGATGATGTGACCTACTTTCTTGTCCTTTGATGTACAGCTATGAAATTTGAACCATGCGGTGGCATAGCATTTTTCTCAAATGCAATCTTGTTTTCTAACTCAGTTACTGATCAAAGTTCTGAAGAAATTAATGCATGAAATTTTAATATTAACGAACATGTGTATTGTTATTTCCAAAAATAAAATAAACCTAAATTTTTTTTAATTATGATGGATGGTTTCATTTTGTTGTTTTGGTGGGGGTTTAAGTGGGAGGGGGATGCTATAGAACATTTAGATATCAACTTACAGCTGTTTTTATAAAAAAAAAAAAAGGAGATGTTACAGGTTGTCATCACCTTCTCTCGGTTCATCTCCATAACACATTTGAAAAGAAATTGTCATGTATAATTTAAAAGATACAGTAGAACTTGGGTAAGTCGAAGTTGAAGGGACTTGCGTAAAAACTTCGACACATCGGGACTTCGACTCATGAATCGCTCTCAATTCCTGACAAAATTTCGACCCGTGACTAGTCCTAATTATAAGCTCTATAACAAAACATATTTCATGTTTTTCCATCATTAATCTTATCTTTAAATTTTACAATGATAAATATAGCATGTCAAATTACGTTTTTCACGACTACCCAAAGAGTTACAAAAGGCGTATGATTACGAAAGGGCGATAACTAAACCAGCTTATAGTAAATATTTCGCGTGTTATTCTCACGCGACACCGGGTCAAGGATGTTTTCAAATGAAAGTAGTGAAGTAGTTCTTACTGTTTACTTTCAAATACCACTACGGCAATTAAAAAAGTTACGATTAAAGCATTTTATCACACATTTTATCGCAAACAAAGGCTGTTTGAACACACGGCTGTGTTATTAACACCTATCACACAAGTTGATTGGAAATCGTCTTCGCAGCCAGATAAGGTGTGAAAAATGTCTCGAGGTCAAAGGTGTCAAAACAATCCAACGACTTCGACTTATTTGTGGTAAATTGCACTAGATTTTCTTTATACGGACCACGAAAAAACCTCGACACATCGAAAAATTCGACACATAAAATTTCGACTCATAAATAGGTTTTTATAAGGAATATATAGGGGGGAAAGTCGGGACTTTCATTTTTATTCGACACATCGAGAAAATCGACTAATCGAAGTTCGACTCATAGAAGTTCTACTGTATAATTTATGATATTGTCTGCACAGGCACTATACTCCATAAATAATTCTACATCAGCCAAGGTACTCAAACGCATTCAACTTTTTCTCTAGTACCAGGTTTTCAATAATTGTTGTTGATCAATATTGAGAATCGATGAAAGGCCAGTGATGGAAATGATATAGATCAATCCATTTGAAATTATCTTCGCAGAGCTTCATTGTTGACAGCCTAATTGATCGGAGATATGTCATTTACTGAGTATATATGTAGCCACAAACCCTCGTTAATACACTGTCAATTGACAACCATAGTTTTGCATCATTTGAATATAATTTAAGATGTAATTTTTTGCTCTTTTCTGTATAATGACCTTTTGTCATGCTTATTTTGTATAATAGGTTTGCCCTATTGGTACTTAAGACTTTTTAGATTTAGATATTGCTATTAATAGAAATTGTACAGAATGTTGGTGGCACCTGAGGTCTTCTTACACCAGTAAAGCCGGAAATTTGCCATGTGACATATACTATGTTGGTATGAAATAAAACCCAATAAAAAAAAATTAATAGAAATTGCTGTTATTTTAATTTAAACTTGCCTTTTAGTGGCAAATGGTTCTCTAGTGTTGTACTCTCTTAATTGGGGTTAGGCCTTAGCCCTTCACTTTTGGGAAGCAAAAAAAATATTACATTATCTTGAATATCTTCATACTGTGACACTTTTGTCCACAGGCTTAAAATTCTTATTTTCATCATTTCTGAAACCATACTTTTTCTGTATTTTCAGATATCCTCAGAGAGAAGGAACAAATTTGCTTGAATATCCCAATAGAAGAAAAAAACAACACAGAAACATGTCAGAGTGTAAGTGAATATAATTAAATATTAACCATTGGTTGTATTGATAGTAGTGTAATCAAAATCAGTTTCTTGTAGATAAAACTGTTGGTAGACTAGTAGATTTTTGGAAAAGTTGTGAGGGAACTGTGTTTTTGACTTCTGTTTGAATATACATTTTTTTCTCTGTCAAATTGGTAGTTCTGCTCAGCCTTAAAATGAATTTTCTACTAATTCTCTTTATTGTTTTTCTCACATTCATGAGTACAAATTTACAAAATTTCTCAAAAAATGATAAGGGAAATGTGAAGAAAAAATGGTCATAGCAAAACAACATGCTTTAAATTAGAGAGACTGAGATAAGATCTTATCTCTGCAAAATTTTAATTTTACTTCATTTCCAAATTTTGAGAAAAACATTTAAATTCTTGTGGTTGGGGTTGGGCAGGGGTTGAAGAAAACTTCAGCTCAAAATTAAGTAGTTTTTGTTCAAGAGATAATTCTGAGATAAAAAAAAAAAGAATGTCACTTTCAAACAATTTAGGCTAAAATTAAACTGTTGAACATATAAAAAAAAGAATAAAATTAATTTAAGCAGTGCAAAGGATTTCATATTATGTGCTTTGATTATACACATCTTACTAATAGAGAATTGAGAATTGTTGAGGACGGAGGATTTTTTCCATTATCTTGGGAGTTATAAAATTTTGTTGCTGAATTAAGACATATTCCTTGGTTTGTGTTGAAAATGGAAAAAAATTGGTAAATTCATTAACAGATCAAAAAAAAAATTCGGTCAAAAGTATATTAGTGGGTATATAATGATAAAAAAAATGTAGATAGATTTCTGACAGGGTTAATTTGGTGTTTTGGTATCAATAATTCATCTGGGTAAAACACTTTCTCGCATAATAAAACAGCTTGTAAACTATGATATTGATCTCATTGATTCTATACACTATTGTGAAAGAAACCCTCGAGTACCTGGTATTATTACCTTAGGGCTTGATCTCACTGAATACCTCCCTATTGTTCCCCCGATACATTAATGTTGGTAGTCGAAGTTATTGTAAAATATGTTTACTCAGGAAGCTTATAAATGGTATGAACAATATTTGTCGGCAGCGTTCAGTATTAGAGACACAACTGAGCACTTAGAGCCTGTATGAACGTGAAATGTTCAGTCATGGTAAAAATTCCAGCCTCAGCAGCTATCGGATTGCTTGCTGGCATGATCTGATTGGCTGATATCTGGTCACTTAGCAACCACCTGTCAACATTGTATTCTTTGATCACCAGGTAAGTCATGAAATAGGTATTCATGTGTGATCGGTGCCTTATGCTGGAATCTGGGTGGATACCTAGTAATCTTTCATGCTGACTTCATACATATATATCATATCGTGTGGCATTTCATTTAATATCAGATGCAGAGGAAACATTGATGGCAGCCAAAAAATTGCTTGTTGAATGGTTGTTTTTTTCTTCGCAAAGCAGCGTGATGTTTAATACTGATCAATGCTTGAAGACAGTACTTTTGTTATGAGAAGGGGTTTCATGTTACGTTAAAGGAAATGAGGCTTAAAGAATGATTTCCACGTAATCTTACGATGACAGATTGTTCACTCGTATTACGTTCAGTCTCTGGATGACGCTATAAGATTGGTAGAGGTATGTTAAGTTTTGATTTAAATAATTTTCTTCATAGCAGTTTTGTTGCTCTCTTTTGCTTACTTGTATGTAGTATTGTTCCATGTAATGATGATTATATTATATAAATGGTGTTGCAAATTGTTTACTGATACAAGCAAATTCCGTTTTACAATTTGAAAAAACAAAACAGATAAGAAATTTGGTAACATACCGGATACGAAATAAGAGTCAGATGTTCGTAAGAAGGTTTAGCACAAGTCTTGGGGTCTGTATTTGTTTTTGCAAGGATGTTAAGTCTGTAGAAGTTAGTGAGGTGGTAAGTATTGTCAGGTTTGGTTTGCTGTAACTGGTATTTTATATGTTAAAGTTCAAAAGCTTATATATAGAAGGAAACTCATGAGTGTTTTGTTTAAATATACAATAAGTTGAGTTTACATGATAGTGAAAAGTTGAAAACATTTATGATTTTGGCAACTGACCCTTATAACAGTCAATTATAAGCCCATTCTGCCTACCCAGGGCATTGTTGGAAATGATGAGCAGAGCTTTTACTTACTGTCTGTTTGTGCCACTGATAGTCAGTTTGATTCTTTTGTTTTTGATGCCAAAAAAGTGAGGGATTAATTGGTAAATTGCCAGTGGGGAATGTAGGGCCAGTGTTTGTAAATTGAATTCAACATCTCAGGTATTTCACAGGGTTGAATATGATAGTGTATAGACAATCATAAAGGCACTTTATAGCTTTAGAAATGAATAATTGTTTACTTCTTTAGAAAGGGGCTAACATGAGTTTTATAATGTTAGATTAACAGTTTTATGAGCATGTTAGATGCTTATCACCTAAAAAAATAAGGGCGAGTCTGAAACTATTTGTAATTAAAGTATCAAATGTAAACAAAGTTCTTAATTCACTGTAACTGTACTGATTGCCAAAAAGCAACAGAAGCAAAATATGATTAGGTAAATAGCCGATGAGTAACATTTTAGAAATTATAACAGAACTCCAAAAATAAAAGATTTCTGAGAAATAAAAATAAAACATAACTAGGTCATAATGGGCCTTTAAGATAAGGAATGCATTTTCTATAACAAAACATATAATTAATTATAATGGGTGATTTGTAAATAGCCAACGGGGTAAGGGTATATAGGGTGATAGTTAATTTCTGACAAAGCATTGATGCATACATGGAATCATCAAAATCATGAATAAAACAACATTCTGAAACAATTGGGAAGAAGTGGTATGTAAATGCTTTAATTCTGTATCTATAGATACTTATGTGCTGCATGATGTGAAAACTCACAGGATATGACCGTAAGAAAATAAGAAAACACATTTTTTTGTACAGATTCATAATTTACAGCTTTTAAAGATAAGTAAACGAGAGGATTTCAGAGGGCTGGGTGAGGGGAGATCTTGTTTTGTTATTGAATAAACTGTTTTACTTCTTATTGTTTTTCTATGCAAAATTGCCAGAAAGAAAATAGCTCTTAATATTTTGCTCAGTAATTGTATACATGAAATTTATTGTTTGTTTTTTTCTCTAACACTATTGAAAATGTATTTTTTTGTGAAGTAAACAAAGTATATAAACACTGCTCTGCAAACAGCGGAAATTTTTAGAGATGTGAGCTGAGTAATTATTCTTCTGATGGAAATAACAACTTGTCAGTATCATAAATATCCATGAATAATTTCCTCCTCAAATTAATGATGAAAAGACCATCGTAATTATCATTATAGGAGAACAGCAGGTATAGAGAAATATGATAATGGAATTTTTTGTCCAGATAATTGATCTTGTTGACCATTCAATTAACTGCTAATGAAGCCTACATATATGGAATCAGGCCTTAACTGAACAATCAGAAGTCGCCATATGAAATAATTAGGATCCTTTTGTTGTTGGTCTTGTATAGAAGAATATTAATTATGATGGGTAAATTACTCTGTTATATAAATTAATGACCAAGTCTTCTTACAAATTGGTTTCATTTTCTACCATTAGCACCACACCCATTTTTTCTATCCACGCTCTGAAGCCAGCTTGAATGGTCAAACAAAGCTTATTATGTAGACTGACCACATGACTTTTGTTACCTTTTGACCAGTTTTTCCATGGTGTGACTGTGATATTGATCACCTGTGTACCTGAAATTTAATAAAATGATAGCAGACCATATTGAATTGTTTGTCCACTATGGGTTGTATACTGAAGGAACACCTGTTCATGCCTACCTGATGTTTGATATAACACACCTTCAAGGCATCATGTATAAATTGTGCACATACACCTATACAGCACCTGTCTATTTAATTGAGTTACTGGAGCTTATTGATTGATTTTTATAGAAGGGAGGTGATGATAGAGAACAAAGAGTTTTTTTTTCACTATAGAAGAATGAAGTCGATAATAAAAGTATGGTTCAATCAGATCAGACCGACATTGTTATTATGTATTTGGTATTGTAAAGACGGTATATCCGGTGGGGCTTCCGGATCATTCACGCTGATATTGAAAAATCTAATACTGTGTCTTATAGATTTCAATAGAGGGGGAAAAAAACAACAGCATAAATTTACTAACATGCTCTCTTTAATGTTTTGCACTACAACATTATATTTGGAGTTTACTTTTGAAGTGTGAGGCAGTATGGACTATTGTGTATCATGCACAAAGGTAAAGTTAAAATATTCAAAGGTTTTATGTACTTGAATTGTGAAATTAATTTTACTTGAATATGAATATAAATTTTACTTGAATCTAAATAGAAATTTTACTCAAATAGGAATTAAAAAATAAATTGAATGGGAAAAGAATTTTTACTTGAACCTGAATAGAAATTTATTCAAATATGAATGATAATTTTATTTGAATGTGAAAAAAAAATTAATCTAAAATAGTTTTTACTCTGATCTGAATAGAATTTTTTTTCAAATATAAATAGAAATTTTACTTAGATATGAACAAAAATGTTATTTGAATGTGAATGAATATGAATGCAAATTTTACTTTAATGTGAATAGAAATTTTACTTGAAAGTGAATAGAAATTTTACTTGAAAGTGAATAGAAATTTTGTATGTAAAAATATGAAGGAGTTGAAAATGTTTTTTGTTATTTTGTTTTTTGTTATTTTTTTGTTTGTTTGTTTTATTGTTGTTAACTTTTTGTGCACAATGTTACATATCAACAAATTTTCTTTGTGCGAATGTTCACAAATTAATCTTCAAGTTTAGATCAATTCATACCACCTAAATTTAATGTATTGCTTTATGTAAAGAACTAAAAAATGTTTGGAAAGATAAATATGTTGCACAGTTTTAGAAATTATTTATAATTGTTACTAAGCTGCATGCATTCAAATAAGTTAACAAATTTTAAAATATGGATAATTATGTCTCTATAATGATGAAATATGCAGGTCATCATTAATTGTCTTATAGTGTTAAGAGACTCCGTAAAAGAATTTCATTTTAAATTCAAATAGTTTACAATTTTTAACCAGGTTCTTTAATGAATTCTAGATTCTGAATTTTAAGAGACATTAAAATGGCTTTGATGACAAAAATTTTATCACAGTTAATATATAAAGACATTCTACATTATTTCACAAGGATTATTAAAAGAAAAATTTCAACCCACAGTATCTTTTTCTGGCATTATTCCTGCAATTATTCTTAGCAATGGTATTAATTAAATTGTTTACTGTATTTATAAATGCAATATTTCTTCATGTGTAATCGCTATTAAGTTCAGCTGAATTTCTAAAATTTATAGTTATCTAAAAGGAGATAGAATAGATGTATCAAAATTACATTTCTCACTTGCCTTAACTAGTTTTTCTGGCCTTGACTGAATTAATATCAGTCCTTGAATAAAAGTTAAGAACCTTAGAAAATCACAACCCAACTATCTTAAACTGTGTTTTAATTTGTATTTGAATTTAAATTGTGAAGTAGGCAGTTTGTATAAGAGATATAATTATCTATTTTCAGACGGACAAAAGAGGGAACATGACGGTGACGATGAATACCAAGGCAGAAAGCGCCAGCGGGGCGAGGGAAACAGAGTCGATCTTCGTGTTCTCCTGCAGAGCAAAGTATGTCTCATTAAACATTTTATAATATACCTTAATAAAAACAGGGCTTCCATGGAAGTTCCAAAATTTTCGAGTCAATCTGCAAAATGTCTGAATCTGGAAGTCACATTATATAGGTATAGAAGACAAAGGGTTATATTTTAGAAGTCACAAGCCAAAATAAGGAGTAAATGACTCCCAAACTTCCACTTTGACTTGTGGAAGCCCTGTGAAAATACAGTCATCATTTGCATTATATATACATGTCACATAATGGACTGTCCACTGTTTAATAGGGGAATATGTGTAAGCATCTGGGGTGCTTGGTTTGTAGAGCTGCAGTCTGCAGAAAAGTATTTTGAGATACAGTCCGTGTGTGTCTTGATCAAGCTGCACATTTTTCACAACCTGTAACATTCACTGTTAGTGTCTTAGACAGATATTCTGTTGAGTATTACTTGTAAACCATGTTTTATGGAAGGAAAGACTGGTTTATTTCATTTGTTTCTTTGAAATAATATTATATTTATGTTCTATAATACTTACAACTAGTTAAAAGTGATATATTGGCAAGTCCTAAGGGTTTTAAATGTTAAATATCTTAAATGGACTTATCCATTTGTCAATCTGGACAAAACCATTCATCATTTTAGAGAAAATTTCAAATACTGTACAGACTGAATAGCAAACAGTGCAGGCCATGATCAAATGGCAGTGACAAGTTAGCTAATGTTGATCTGAACTGGTCTCATGTGTATATTCATTTGCCGCAAGCAGGCTAAAGGTTTTAAAAATCTTGAACTATTTAAGGATTGGCAATTTCATAGTATCTCACAATGACATGACAGTTTTAAAATTAGCTCTGTAACAATATATAGGCAGTTACAAATATAAAATGTATAAAAAGAGGTGAACTAAGAAAAAATTATGATGGTAAAGAAAATAGCTGTACGAATGATAATATTTCAGAATGCAGGTGCCATCATTGGGAAAGGCGGTACCAACATAAAAAGGCTTAGATCAGACGTAAGTATTTTCCAACCAGTGTAGTGAACTTCTTTGATTTGATACTGTAACCATGGTCTCTGAAAATAGGAATCCGTAGAAAGTTCTCATTAATTTGAAAAAAAAGCAAACAAAAGAATTTTCATTGCATATTTTTTATTTAATTTTTTTTTTTTACTATTTTAAAACTGTTGTCTGAGTGCAGAATATTGAAGCAGATGATTATGAATATTTAATAGATTTGAACAAAGAGCTGGTGAGAATTTCAAACCTGTACAAACAGTCATGCTGTGTAAAATTACCTGTTTAAATCTACTTGATACTTCAATCTAGTTTTTTTCTCTCCATGTATGGTAATAATGGCTTTAATGTTAAAAAAAATTGTTTTAAAGATGTTTATATATTTGATTTTTGTAGAAATTGATACAAAATGTATAAACGAAATTGTCACCTTACAGAGCTAATATTATATCACTCATCTGTATTGATATTTTATTTTATGAATATCTCGGTACAATTCAAAGTTATAAATAGAATTGTCAAGGGAGAAAAAAATGAGACCCGATTGATTTTCTTTTAATCTAAGTCATATAACAATGAACGCATTAGATCTTAAACCTGTTTTACAGAATTTCCGCTAAAATGCCACTTGTAAATGTATTTCAACAATGATAGTTGGCCATTTTTATTGACTTTATTTGACACAATGCCAATAAGAGAGCATATAGAGGGACCGTTGTTAAAACTATTGTGTCCCGTTACTTGATTCCATATGAGTTTAAACTGGTCTTGTTCCAAGCCGAGGATTTTTACTATCATGTACATAACCTATGTGACATGATGGGTCGGTTGTGTCAACATTATCACAATTGACAAGTTTGATTTCGATGCATTAATTGCCAGTTAATTCCTGTGAAAGGATGTAGTTAGTAAACATAACCATGACATGGTCCTCTGATTTGTGATGGCTGTAAAACAAGTGAATAGAGAGCTGTATTTTGTAAAATTTCTGTCACAGAAGATATTGAAGGCATTGTCTCAAATGTTATTTTGTTATGCGTGTATAATTATGAGTACATTATCGATACATTGATTTTCATTTGTAAAAAGAATATATTAGAAATATTCATGCCATTTTATTTACAAAACTTGAACCTTAATATTGTCATGTTAATATCAATGTTATATATTTTATTATAGCCATGTCTTGTAGTGTTACATGATATTCAGTACTGTAATTGCCCATGTTTCATTTTATACTGAAATTATGGCTTCTTTTCCAGACACTTTGAAGATTACTTACTTTCGTAATGAGAACAATTTGCTCTTTGAAAAATGTCATTTCACACATTCTATGAAATTGAGAGATACCTATATACTAAGAAGGGCTGATAGGCCATTTTGGCTACTTACTACTGCCCACACCTGACACTTGGTTTTTAGTGGCAGTGACGAAGAAATCTGTGATTTGGCACCAAAAAAAAAAAAAATTGTCTCGGAGGTGAAAGAATGATTAAAAAAACGAGATTCCCTGTTATTCATGCATCTTAATAGTAATTTTTTTCAAAAACCTAAATATCCAGTTAAATGTATTATGATTTGCATGAAGAATTTTAAGAGTTTTTGTTTAAACAATTGTTTTCTGATGAACATTGTTGTATGTTTATTGATTGTACTTGACTTGTGCTAATTTTTTTCTCCAATTTTCCTCCCCATGTCCATGTCCCGCCACCATAAAAAATCACCAAACGATCTTGAAACAACCTTGGCCTTGATTGAATGATATTCCTATGGAAACGATCTTAATCTCCTATCCCACGGATGTCCACGGTCCACGATGCAGTACAAAGCAAGCGTAACGGTTCCCGATAGCGACGGCCCAGAACGGTAACATATCCCACAATACATAGAACTTTATTCTGCTTTTTTATCACTCACTAATTCCCGCAGTATACTGTGAACATTTTACCATGATTTTTAAGTTTTAAACTGGCACCATATTTTGTTTTAAACAGGGGAATGGATATTTTGGTAATGGGTGAAATAACCTCGTGGGGTTTGTTTTAAAAAATTCCACAGAAGTTTACTACCAGTTTCAATAAATCTTGATCCATTAAAGGGAGTTAGGGTTCAATTTTACGAAATAGTCAACAGAATTGGGAATTAACTTAAAGAAAATTTCCGGTCGTTTGTTCTAGTTTAAAACCAATCAAATCTGAATTAAAAAAAATATGTGCCATACAAGAACCAGTATACTGACAATTATGTTGTGATGTAAGATAAATATTATATCCTTACCTACTGTAAGCTTTTGTAAATATTCAAAACGGACATAAAACACTGATAAATCACTTGACAGAACTTTTATTTTGCCAGAGTTTTGCTTGGTTTTCATAGATACAGATCTTATGAAATATATTCTATTTCAAAGTTTTGTCTGTATTTAAGTTCCTATTGTTGTGTGGTTTTTCAAAAAAATTAAAACAAAAAAGAAAACATAACATAACGCATCATGGCAGAAATAATTATTTGAATTTTGTGATTTAGTATTGTAATTTTGTGTAAAATCGGGCAAATTATTTGTTACTTGGCAAAATAAAGTTCATGTGATGTTAGAAGTGTTCTTTTATCCACAGTAATGTAAGGCAATACCATAAAAGTTGAATACATGTTTAATCATTCATGATAAATTTGTTTTTATTTCTGTTCCTTTCATTGAAAATACAATGACAATTTTTCCTGACTGATTTAGATTGAATGAAATGAACCTTGCATTTTAAAGAAAATGTTTTTTATCATAACACCTGGTCCAAAGGCCATGTCATTTGTTTCCAATCCAACTTTGAAAGAGAAAAACAAAAAGAGTTATAGAAAAAGAAATTGCCCGTTGTCATTGTTCACAGTTGTGTAAAAACCTTGTATTTATGTATTAAAATGTTTTTTATAGAATTTTGACCATCAGCGCTGAGCTTGGCACAGCATTAGATTGTCTTCTGGATGTGATCCCAACGCTTGAAGAGGTAAGTGGTATTTTACAATTAAACAGCCAAGAGATTTATTTTAAATGACTAAATGAGTTCCCTCCCCTGTATGATAGGAGTTGGCTAGTTCCAACCAAATGCTGACTTACACTTGACAGTTATATGCAAATAGATTTGAATTTGATTACAACAAATAAGGGGAAGTGATGAAAATCTTTCTAAAATGATTTTAAAGCTGTATTGTTAAAATATACAGTGTTGATACGCTCTAGACAAAGGACAAATTATTTACTGAAGTTAATGTCTGAAAAGAATACTTGATATTCTTGAAAGAATAAAAAAAAAAGAAAATCACAATTTACAGGTGAAAATACTTATTCTTCTGAAGCTTTGCTGACTGTTACCAATTGTGGAAACTAGCCAGATGGTCAGTGGTTCTACCTGCGTGCCTGTGAGTGACTGAAATAATGTACAGAGGGTCACAAAGAGGAATACTTTATGTTGGTATAACTTAGACCACCCCTACCCCCTAAACACAAAAAACTTTTGAAATAGTTGTATGATAGGGATGATATGTAATATCCTAATCATTAAAAATTATATTTTTACAGTATCAGAACATGAAAGGTAATGACTACAACTGTGAGATCCGTATGTTGGTTCATCAAAGCCAGGCTGGATGTGTCATTGGTAGAGCTGGCTTTAAAATCAAGGAACTCCGAGAGGTAGATATTTGAAATAAAATTGTTTTTTAAGCTTACTTACATCAGTTACATTATTTAAGTTTATTTTAGCTTTAGTCTATTAAAGCTGAAAAGAAAAAAGTAAAAGCATATATTTTTAAAAAATAAAAGAATGTATTAAAATGAACATAGTATATGATTAACACATAATTGTGTAAGAAAAGTTTATATTTCTAAGTTTTTATGAGCTCAGTTTTTATTTATTGTTGATTAATTTGTAAGTAATATATTTTTTGAAAGTGAGTCGAATATGTGTGTGTTGCAGAAATTTTTAACTTGTTTTCTACTGAATAAAGCTTCTTTATTTTAAATCTTCTGGAATTAAGTTATTCTGAAGATATTACAAGATGGGAAATGTTGTATTGTAAATAGATGAATGAATATGTTCTAATTATGTTGTAGAAAACTGGAACAAACATTAAGGTGTACTCACAGTGTTGCCCAGGATCCACTGAGCGTGTTGTAGCCATTGCTGGCCGACCAGATGATGTCGTCAACTGTATTGACACAATCTACGAACTGCTGGAAACTGTAAGTTTAACAAATGAACATTTTCAGCTTGACTATTCAAAGAATAAGGAGAGCTATTGTACTCAGCTAGATGTCTGTGTTTTACTATCAAGTAAAGAGAATAGTTGAGCACTTGTTATTTCACTTCCACAAGTGACTGGATTAAGTACTGATAATATTAGGACCTGGACTCCAAATTTGAAATGCTTCTGACAGTCAATCAGGTTTAAAATCCCAGAAATGTCAGTGTGACAATTTTAGAAATAATGTTGTTTTTTGAGCTAAGTTTCTCTGAAATTTGTCAGAAATTAAAAAAAAGTTGATAACAATTGGAAGTTGCTATATTTTTAAATGTGCTTAGTCTTGTGTATAGATGTAACATCAGGTTCCTAATTGTAAGGAAGTTAATAAGCATTACATGTAATCTCAATTTCTTAAATCTATATTATTGTTGATAGTTTTGAATTTTATTTCATTAAAGGCTCCACCAAAAGGACCTAACCAGTATTATGACCCAAACAACTTTGACGAGTTTTACTGCCAAGAGTATGGAGGTTATACTCTTGGCGAGGGTTTGAGAGGTAAAGGAGGTCGTGGGGGCCGTGGAGGTGGCATGGGTGGTGGCGGCGGTGGTGGATTTGGTGGTCGTGGTGGTGGTGGTGGCATGGGAGGCCGTGGAGGGTGAGTGGACCAATTTAGATATTTATATTTGACTTTCCAGCTTATGGAAGTTGTGAAAAGTTGAAAACCCACGCAGATTTATAATGAAGGACAGTGTGACTTTGTTTTTCTTTTCTATGACCGGCAAAAATCATAAAATCTATATAGTTTTTAGAAAGTCTCAAATATTTTATCACACGCAAAACGTCTTTTCCAAAATTAGATTGAAATATGTCAATTATGTTGTGAAAGGTCATATAAAAAGATTTTACAAACAATGACTTAGAAAAGTAGTACGTTTTAACATTAATGGCAATCATTCAGAAAAGTTTCCTGAAAGCCTTTTGTTATATCTGAAGGAATATTTTGAATACTGTAGACTAGCCTGTGGTGATGATTTCTGTAGTTAATGGTCCATTTATCTGTTATTTGATATTTATAAGCTGTGTTGTAATTCTATCTTGTGGCTTTATTCATCCAGCTTAACCTAAATCATAGTAATTTTCGTTGTTGTAAAGATTGTACTTTTTTGTGTAGGAAATTACAAATATTTCAGACATTACTTTTTTGTGTAGGAAATTACAAATATTTCAGACATTCAAGACTTAAATGCATTTAAATTGTTTTAGATATATTTCCTTGTTGAAGATGGGGGGGGGGGGTATGCTGTTAAAGGTCATATAATGAATGTCAGCTTTACTTGTGGATGCAGAGTTCATGTGCTCTTGTGGTATTTCAGGCAAAAGTAAACCCTAGATTAGAATCCCTGTCCTCTAAAATGACAGCATGATCAAAAGTTTTCTCCCAGTGAAAGAATTCAATGTCCTAGATGGAATTTTTCTTCTCACGGAATGACCCTGTATTGGCAATGTTTTGTTATAATTTATCTAGACGAGGCGGTGGTGGTGGACGAGACATGGGTGGCCGTCAAGGTGGATTCGGAGGTGGCCGTGGAGGCGGTGGCGGTGGAAACTTCGGAGGACGCGGTGGTGGAATGGGTGGCGGTGGAATGGGAGGAGGTGGAGGTGGTATGGGTGGAGGTATGTGTGACACAATATTAATATCCAAAACTGGAGGGAAAAAATTCCTTAAGGCACTTTTTATCCTGTCACTTTTAGTAAGCCATTTCCCTTTAGATAGGTTAGCAGGTCAGCTGTTTCTTAGAAAACCGTTCCATTCAATAGTAAATCTCTTTGTTTGGCCTTATAGCATTTATATAACAGTATGATTTTGAAAATTAAAAAAAAAATTACACCGAGTTATCTCTTGAAATAACCAAACTCACTTGATATGGTCCAAAAGACATGAGAGTAATTACAAACTTGATATATCACAGAAATGCGCCCAGATTACTTAACAAAACAATTGTCTAAGCTTCTCTAATTTCCTTACCATTAAGCCCTAGTTTTATACCTGTAGATCCCCCATTGTTCCTTCTTGTTTCTAAAATAATGTATAACTAGATTTAAACTCAAAACTACGCCAAAATTATTTATGTTTCTAATATTCTATTTTATAACATGTATGTACCTTTCTATGTTAATCATTTAAATGCTAATTTTCTATTGTAACACATTTCGGTTTTTGCGATGCCAAAAGGAATGGATCGAAGTTGGAGAATAATGATTATCATAGAAAGTGATGTCAGGAAACATGCATGGTTCAAAGGTTTTGTTTCAATGTGTCATCAATATTGATGAAAAAAAAGATATTGCAGTGAAATGTTTTGTTTAAGGTCGTGGAAGAGCGAGAGGTGCTAGTAATTTTGGTGGACGCCAACAAGGCAATGATTCAAACCTGTCCCAAAATTTGGACTTTGGGGGATCATCAGACATAAAACCAAGTAAAAAATGATAAAATATATGTGTGCCTTCTCCCTGCATTGCTTCCCTATACATACAATCTTCTTGTTATTAGCCATAGTATTAGTGTCCAATTAGGCAAATTGTAAATTTGTCTGTTTAAATATGTCAAATAGCTTTTTCTACAGCTTTTCAAAGGTGTCCCTATCTTGTATGCATTTTGGCTGACTGGATTTTTTTTTTTTCAAGACCATATTATATTCAAATATCCTTATTTGAGTGCCGCAGTTTACAACTTTTCCTTGTACATGGCCATTTTCCATTGGACTTTTTCAAATAGTTCATTTATACCATTGAGTGGTCTTACAAGTTACAAATATTATCTGTTTAAAATAAGTTTATATTGATAATTTGTTTTCCTGGCAACCTGTCAATGGTTATCAAAAATTGATTTTTTTTTTTTAACAAGTCTACATAATAAGTTTCCAATTTTATAACAAGTCTACACCACGGAAAGAACTTGCAAGCAAACCAAAGAGTTATTAGAAGTAATAATTTAATTTCTGAAATATAAGTTTGTCCCCTATCACTTTCAGATGCTCTCTTTGTGCTTTTTGATATGTTTGTTATTTACAATGTTGAATTTGATTAAAAGACAGATTTTCCCTTTGGTCTTTTAAGTGGGCATTATATTTATTCATAAAGCAACTGCCATTCAGTGTATGATGAAACCACTAATAAAATATATCTGATCTAAGCAATTATTAATTTGAACAAAAAAATGATGATGTTATTAATATTTATATATAAGCAAGTGCATGTTTTAACATTTTAATAAATTTAACAAAATTGAATGTTGCAAATGAAGAGCCCTACCCCAATGTTCAAAAAGGAAAAGAAGTTGCTTGCAAATGGCATTAAAGGAACATCTGGATACTCTGTCAGTTATGTGTAAATGAATGAAGTTATTCTTTTTAAGTACAATTTAAACAAATTATCTGCGGCATTGTAGGTATGGGTGGCGGCCGTGGAGGAATGGGCGGTGGTAACTATGGAGGACGAGGTGGCGGTATGGGTCGTGGCGGCATGGGCGGTGGTATGGGCGGCGGTGGAGGTATGGGAGGTGGCGGTGGAGGTATGGGAGGCGGTGGATATGGGGTGGAAACATGGGTGGTGGTATGGGAGGAGGAATGGGGGTAAGTGTTAAATATGAAACTTATATATTTTTAAGTAGAACCTGGCGTTAGTTAATTGAATTAGTTTAATGATTAAGTAATGATTAACAAAAATGATTAAATAAAAATTGATTAAATAAATTTATTCAGCCCTGCTAACAATTCTTTAAAGGAATGAAGTTCATTTGTTTTATAACCTTAAAATGTTCGAAAAAAAATACAAACACAAGCATGGTGCTTGGTGAATTTAGACTCCCCACTTTGTATTACTCTATTATACAAATTGCATCCGTTATTGGTGTAAAGCTATTTAGTTTGCCACCATACCGTTACCAAAACAATGTTATTTAATGTTTAAAATCACTTAGATAAAGAAATGAAGCTGGAAGAATTGTTGGGCTCTAATGCAAAATACGAAATACTTCTTTATACAGTTACGGATTTGGTTACATTTGGATTCTTTCAAGAAATAGGAATGTGAATATTTTTGCTAGCATTTTTTAAACAACGCATAATAGCATTGTTATACTCAAAATTGGCATGATAATATTAACAAAATGCCAGTAAGAGGATGTCACGATTATTGTTATTTTAAAAGCTTATTAAATGTAGACAAACGGTATTTCTTATAGAAATCCCTGTTAAACATAAGAAAGCATATGCTAAATTTCGATGTTCAAAATCAACAAAACTTATGTTGAAATCGGTAGGCATTTCATAAATATACCTTTTCAAGAACGCGCTTTTGCAATGACTGAATTGTGCTTGAAAATTATTTAACTTATTCATATTGACTGTGAATTAATCATGCTTTTTTTTCATTGTAAAAAATATTTAGAAATTATAAAATACCTATTTTACTTAAAACTGGTATAATTTCCAGGAAATGACATTACATAACTTTTATGAATTACTCTCATCAAATGATATTATTTATAATCAAGAAATCTCTACTTATATTTACCACCTCATGATATCTATAGCACAGCTCTACCCGACTTAAATGTAATGATGTGTCAAACTTGTAAAAAGACACAACTTATAATTAAATATTCAAATATTTTGTATACATGTATTTTGGTTCCGGTGGGCCCTTTATTTTACTGAATAAATCTTTTGACTTGACTTGAACTTGACTCATATTTTCAAAAGATCCAAACAATTTAAATGAGTGTTGATTTTTTTTGGTTATATATAGTGGTGGGAAATATGAATCAAGGAGGTTTTGGGTGGAAACCAAGGTGGTGGATTTGGTGACAACATGGGATTTATGGATGATAACATGGTATTCCTTATTCCAGCATTTTTATTTCTTTTTGATTACAACCTACTATGTTGTAGAGTTTAATTTTAATGTAATCTTTGATTCTGTGAAAATAGAATAAAACTTTGAATACATGATCTGTCGTTAGAATTTAATATAATATTTAATCTGAAAACTGGATAAAAGGAATTCACAACAAAGTTTTAATTTGTTTATTAATTTCTCTTACAAGTTAAAACATTTTATAGAAGTTTAGAAACAATTAAGAAATCTGCCCCATGTCTTAATTTGTTTCGAGGTTTAAAATATTGCCATGTGTTATGTTAACTTGTTCTAGTCAGGTAGCAAAATTTAAACAGGCTGGCCCTATATACTGTAAATTAAAAAATAACTGTAATAAACCCTGGATCATACAAGTTAAGTCAATATTATTCTTGTCATTAATTATTAGAGGTAATTAAATTTTAAATCTTGTCTTGCAGGGAGGATGGGAAATCAGGGAAATTGATTTTGGAAAATTGACAGCCAACAAAAACCAGTACCCAGGTCACAATACCAAAGGATGTTTAAGTATATATTGTGAATTAGGTTCATTACATAAACGGCAAAATATTAACAAATTAGTGTCTAAACAAGAATTTCCCAAGTTTGCTAAAAATTTTTTAAATTTAAACATTTTTGTTTTTCGATGGTTTGGGGGATTTAAAAAAATACAGATTAAAAGACTCAAGCACATGTCTGTTAATTCTTGGGTTATATTCGTTATACATAGGTTTTTTTGTACATGTTGCACAACGTCTTGAGCATTGCCCATGTAAATATAAATGAAATGCTTCACTGAAATATTTAAGTTAATAAGTATTCAATTAAATATATAGAAAAGTGTTTATTATCACGCCCTTTATGTGAAGAACAACTTTTAAAGGCAATGACAACGTTCATACTGAATACATATAGTTCATATATATTTTGTAAAATAATTTTTTTTTTTTGGTAAAATTTAAGTATGCTCTTTTAAGCATACTTTTCGAAGCTAAAATGGTAAAAGTTTGTACTGGGAGAAAAGCTCAGAAAACCCCATATTTGCAGAGTTTCCCGTGAATTTGTATTTGAACTATTGTTTATATGACTTTGGTAATAATATTGGCTTATACCCATTTAATAACAGATTTGGCCTGGAGCTATCATTAGGTAAAGGAGGTTTTCCCGAATCGCATGGAGATCCGTCACCAGTCAGAGGCCCAGATTGTCATTGACGAGGCCCTTGCCCCGGATCTAATGACAGAATCATCCACAATAACTGGTACAGAGGAACA